TTTCTTTTTAAAAATAAAAAAAAATTGGGAAAAGGAAATTTGCGTCTTGCGATTTAATAAAACTGTAAATATAAAATTCGCTTCACACTTTCTGGAGAAATTTCAAACCGGCGTTTACTATTTCATACACACGAGGGGGTCGAGGAAAATTACAGTGCGTGTATCGTGCCGTTTCCTCTAATGATAAACATGGAGAAAGCGACCCCGTTGTCAAAATATTTTTCAAAGGTTTTTCAAATGAGCCCCGAGGATTGAGAACGACGGCTTGTCTTTTCTGGCTGCGTACAAAAGATTCGTTTCACGTGCAGTGGTTTTCGTTTAAGTGACTGACCAAAGATATCGGTGGAAATTAGAAATTTTATCCAAACATTTTACATGCGCTATTTTATTGTATGAATGATTTTATTAGAACAGAGACGACGGAACTAGGAATTTTTCTGAAATTCATCGACCTAATTAAATTTTTTTAACAACCTCGTGTTATCATTTTAAATCTTTTTTTTAGCGATTTCTGCCATTCGATTATACTTTTTATTTTAGCTATTTCTAAAACTGGATTAACAGGATTAAAAATTAAATTAAAAATATTTATATATACCAGTTTCTTATATCTTTCATTTTTTCGTTTTAAATTTTGTGTCGTGATAATATATTTCTAAATTAGGTATACTATAAGGTACGACGTGAAATTCCGAATTCATTACAATATATAATAAGCTAATAGTTTTTTTTTTAAGTCAGCGCTCTGACCAGACATCTTGATGTCACTATATGTATCTGGATTTATCAATATTATCCTCGAGATTTATTGTCTGGAAGATTGGGTGGTTAATGAAAGCAGACCGCACATTAACCCTTTCTCTCTCAATCCTTCCTTTCTTATTAAAATATAAACAGATACCTGAACACGAGTGCTATATAATATAATATTCTTAAAACAATATTTTCTAAAAAATCAAACTGGTATTTGTCTAGGAGTTGAGCCGACCAAACACTCTAATCAGTATAAAAGGTGGACAATTTATTATGAATAGAAAGAATGTGGAGTAAAATGAATAAAATTCAGTAAATAAACAACAAAGGTGGCGATTGTGAATGGACTGGCTACAGGTGAGCTCGAACGTTAAGAATGTGTCAATATTGAATCAACATTAGTATATGTAGAAAAATATATCCATAGTTTTATTGTAGGTATATCTGTTTAATTGGAAACTACCGTCTTATTATATTTGTGTAGGTATATAAGTGCTATATAAAACTCGTGGTTCCATTGAGTTCGAAACCTTGTCTATTTTATGATAATGTCTGGTGGTATTGGTAAGAGTGGTTGTAACAAAAAAATTACGAAATTACGAAAGCACGGGACGAGGTGAAAATTCACCTACATCAGCGTGATATTTATAATTGATAAAATTAAAATAATTAATTAAATGATTCTAAAATAATAGATTATATATATAAATGTGAATGAAGTTTCTGTAACCAACATCCTATGAACTAAAGAGAGAGTATGAAATTAAAATTGGGGAGGAACCAATAGTCTTTACAAAAAAATATATATATATATAATTACATATGTTGATATTAAAGATGGGTTTTCTTATTTTTAGTGTCAAATTAAGTAAACTATTTGATTAATTGGTGTTTCTAAGGAATTATCATGTATTCTTAATCATATCATTATCTTCTTATATTGCATATAATTAAGAGTTTTAACCAATCATAAATGTCCATTTATGTACAGTCTGGATAAACAAAAAAAGAATTCTAGACCTTTTTTGATCGGTCACTCATTTGAATTCTGCTGGTAATTATCTTCTAATTTAGCTAAATGTGATTTAATTATTGAAATGTGAGACAAACTGGTATTTTTCCAAGTCATTAGAACACCTCTACTTTCTATTCATATAAGTATTAGCATTTTCATTTTCATAAATAAAAATAAGGGAATCCATTTTTAAAGTTCTAATGAGATATGGGTTAAAGTCTATCATGGACTAAAATATCATTTAGATTCTTATTCCGCTCAAAAGCAAAAACTAGATCGTTTTGAATTATGGGTTTAAATATTATTGTACATGTATATGTATTTAGAAAATATCAATTTTTTCCTGTAAACTAAACATCGAATCTAGTGTGTGGATTGTAGTGCTGGGTATCGTCAATCACGCCACGATATGATACGTATCGCAATACAAGGGTCACGATACGACAGCCTACATATCGCGATATGGGGTAATGGGCTAAAAATTAACATTTTATCTTCAAAGATTCTATATATATTAATTCATAACTTTATAACTGTGATATTTGGTAATTTAGTGGTAAGCATCCTCTATATCTTATAAAAAGTTTCTAACAATTTCAGTAAAAAAATGTAACCCGCTTTTTTATCGAAAAGAAGGTATCGCCAAGTTTTGATACACAACATTGCGATAAGTATCATATCCTGGCATGTCGTATCGCGATACATCGATTCACCGATATATCGTGCCGTCACTAGTTGATTTCCTGTCATTTAAGGTTTATGGTATATACTATTATTTCAAAAAAATCCGAGATCTTTTGGAGCTTTTGGACTTTGCTTTCTAATATACATGTGTTCCACGAAAATATGATAATGTATGTATAATGGTATAACTGGGCTGGCCTTATTTTTAATTTATCAATACCCATGTTCCTTTTCCAGATACCAGCACTCTTTCGAAAAAAAATCTGAAAATATAGAAAATGGAATATAGTTAGAAGACAATGGAACATTAGTCTCCGACAGAACCCGAATTTGAAGATCCTCACTCAAAGAAATTAGAATTTCTTGTCGATAAAAGTAAAATATTTTTCTAGGAAACAGACGCGATGGAGAAAAGAAAACATGATGTTTGGACGGAGAGGGAAAACTATAAATATCACGTTGGGGCTATATCATATCAAAAATACCCTCAGTACTTGAAGAAGTTGGAGTAGGTACTTGAAGATCGTGATTCACGCCGCCATTGTCTTAATGTCTTTGTATCCAATCTTCATTTCATTTTCCTGAATTTCGTTTCAATAATACAACTTGACAAAATTTTCTGTTTCCATGGATACAGGTACTTGACCCAGAGTGAGGCGAGATTCTGGATAAGGATTGAATCAGTCTTGAGTTTTCTTAAGAAAATAACGAATTTTTAACTCGATATTGCATCTTTTTCTTCCTAAATATTTTCCCAAACTCTCAGATGTGAGGTCTCAATGAAATCGTTGGTGGTACTATTCTTTATTGAAACAATATTAAAGAGAAAACAAAGTAATCAATTATTTTGTGTGATTGAGTGGGGACCATTGGGTACTGCTAATCTGCATGAGTATTGTTCCAAAGAATCTTTAATAGAGACTAGTTAGAATGTACTTCAGTAGGTAGGTTTTTTTCTCCAATCCAACCAACTTTTTAAAAAAATCAGTTCTATGTTGCCAGTGACGTACTCCTGAAGTAATGAAACCAACTTGGAGGGAATATAGGCCTACGCCATCAGTGACATTATTAAAGTTTTTATTTTTCCTGTCTGTCCACCGTGGATTCTATCTGAAGCCAGCCGTAAGCGAGACACAGAATTTCTTCATCATTAGAAAGAATAATGAAAAAACATCTCGAGAAATCTTGAAAAATCACGAAAGCGAAAAACATGAAATAAGTTAGCGTTTAAAGAATAGATTTAGAGCAAGGGGCGATAATCTACTATAGAAGTCGAGCAGATGTAACGTCTAACCAATTTTCAGCCCAATCCACAACTAATTGTTTTTTATTCGCCTGGAAAATGCTTCTACAAACTATTTAAGACTTAGTTTTACTGATTTTAACACAAATTTGTCCTCAGGCCAAAAACTTTTAATGTAAACAGTTTAAGTTTAGCAGAGTGTGTTTGAGATCTATACGGCACATGACTGCTTTATTTGTTTCCCGATTTTAAATTGCCTATTTATTATTAAAATACACACAAGTAACATATTATGTAACAGACATATGTAGTTATTTAATATGATGAAAAGGCATAACACATAGCGTTAGTGAAATTGAATACCAGATGAAAAATATATTATTTGCAATGCTACTTTTCCTCTGAAGACACATAGGCTATACATAGACCATTAATTTCTTTTCCCCAAAAATATGATCTAAAATTCAGAGATTTCCCCTAACACCCTTTGCCTAACGTATTTTGAGATATTCAATTCCATTAGTAAAACATCAATGTTATCAAAATCGAGTTTTTCCCAAATAAATTTCAATAAGATATTAGAATCTAGTGAGATTTTATTCAGTATTTAGCCATCAACTGCCAGAAAATACCAGTTCGATTTGACAGATCGCGTACTTGTTCTCTATTCGCCCCGAGAAGATTTGACAGGCGATATGCCTTTATTCCTTTCTCGATGAAATATGCAAATAGAATCAGGAAATTGTTGGCAACCTAAGCTGAAGATTGCTTGCTAATGAAATCCAAGAGACTTTTGGTAAACAAGTCTGGCGAGCAGAACTGAGGCTTGATGAAACAGACGACAATTACCCGCCATATGTCAAGCGAACTAATCCAATCGTTTTCTGTCAGATACACCCAACATTGGCTTAGTTAAACACTTGAGGCTGATTAGAGCCATTCCTAATCTATAAGGTCGTGTCTTTGGTGCCAACTTTCATTCCTGAAAATCAGGCTTTCTTTTATTCCATTATTTTAAAGTATTGACCAATCACCGCCTGGGTAAATGAGTATTTATCAAGGAGTAAAAGTCAAAATGGTGGAATCGTGTAAAGATAGATGTTAAATAAAATTATTTTAGGTGCGAGATGGAATTCACTTTGTTAGCTCTAACTGTTGACTTTAACTGAAATTTATTCACAGATCTAGAGGTAGGCCTATCATAGATATGATACACTTGGCGGCTTCCATTCATTGGGTTTTCCAGATTCTTGGGTTATCTTTAATGTTGTGTCGGTATTTTACCGGGAATCCAAGAACCCTAGATCACAGAGTTGATTTATATAATCATTGTTTATTCATATATACATCAAATATACATACATCAGCTTTTATCATTGTTCAAAACGTGTACGTATTCAGTTATTTAAGTCGACTAGCTCCATTATAATTTTCAGAGGTTGTTTTGTGTGGTCGAATTCCAATCAAAGCGTGAATTCTATAGAAAGTCAGCTCTTTCTTGTTTGTCTGGGATTTTATTCAATAAAACATAGACAAATATACTTCAGGTTTAATTAATGTTTTCTAAATTATACTCAAATGCTTATTTCATGATAATGAACAAAATTATGGTATAGCATACTACACATAATAAGGTAAAAGCAGAAATGTTACCTAAGATAAGGCATGTTCTTTACATTTCCAGAAAAGTAAAATATCTTTGTACTATTCTAAAGAAATGTGACATTTCTTATTTTTTGTTCCAAAATTGAAAACTTGTTTGATACTTGCAAAATGCATAATTTTTAAACCAGTTGTATTTGAGAAAATTGAGTTCAACTTAAAAGCATAAGTTTATCATTATCCATTGTATGTAATTACTGGTATTTCATTCTCAATATAGACTTAGATTAAAATGCAGGATGATTTTAAAATATAATATTTACAAACATGGTATGATTAACAGTAATACGTTGCCATAGTGTTGTCACTTACTTTCTCCTAATCCAATGATAAAACAAAATTTTTTTTGAGAGCCAATTTCAAGGTATCTTATTTGATGACAATCTGAAAGTTATGATATTTCTAACAACAAATCCACAATTGATGAATATAATACAAAAAAAACCACAAAAAAGGGTGGTTGAAAATATTAACATTTCATTAAGAGTTTGGGACTCCAACTTTAAACACTATGGCAGGCTCATACAAGAAACAGCCATCACTGTAATTTGTGATAAAAGCTGTTTGTAGTACTATGGTATATAATGATGATGTAGAGAGGAAGTTTCTTTCTGTAAATTTGTTTTAATATCTTCTACCCCCTCCTCCACCATAACCTCTTCTATTGTCTTGATGCTGAAATAAAAAATAAATACATTTTTCATGTTTTTTTGGATTTATTAAGAGAATGATTTTGTTTCTGACTTTGAATTGGACGGATATGACAGAAGTTCCAACCTTCCTCAAAAATGTAAGAAATTTCTTGTTTTTTTTTGGTATTAATGTCCATCCAACAAATTGCTGTACTTTGAACATCTATTTTTTTCCAAGTAAATGACATCCTAAATGCTCATAAGTTGCAAATTTTTGTGACAGGCATAAAAATCCCTGAAACAGTCATTAACATCATCCTTTAAAGTAACATGTGTCTCTTGGATGTTTTTGACAAGTACACACATACAATCTAATAATAAGCATCTTCACAATGTCAAGCTGTAATGAACTTTGTCTTATACCTTGACTGATAAGCCACCTCTCTTGTATCACAGAATGTAGCCATTTGATTGGATTGTAGGCCAGCGAATACATCCAATCAGACACCTCAACAGACAACCAAAATTATGGATTATGGACTCTGATTGGTTGTATTTGCTAGCGTACACTCCAATTAAATTGCTGCATTTACAAACTTCCATGATACAAGAAAAGTGGCTATTGAAGTCAAGGTATAAAAAAAGTTCTTAATGGCTTGATAATGTGAAGATGAATAATTATGATATTAGAATGTTAAAGCAGTAACCAGAGATTACAATCTGACCTAAGGCCTGGTTTAGTTTAAAAATTAATCTGGTAAAAGAAGATTATTATCCAGGATTAACACAACAATTGTAACACAGGTTAAATTACGTTGTGTGTCAATGACAGGGTCGGATATTACAAAGGGAGATAATATAAGATAAACCTTATCTTTGACAACACAATGCATCACATATACAGCTACTAAATGATGCTAATTCATGGCAAAAATAACCATGACCACCTGAACAAACCTTCAACAAAATATTTCGATTGAGATTCAACTTTTTCCAATCTTGTTTGACAACAAGTAGGAGTGGGCGGGGTTCTAATTGTTGACAAAAACTAGATAAACTTTAAATATACTCCTTTGTCCTTTCGGCTAACGATACACTATAACAATACTGGCAAACAATTCTACTTTCATTTTTTAATACAGGAGGTAGAATAGGGGTGACTTGGTACAATCGTGTGAATAACATCAGACAATTCGCATCATTAAACTGAAAACCTGTTCGAGGATAAGTTCAGTGTATATCAGAAAAAAGGATAATATTGACAGTCAAAATGTGTGATGATTCGAGTAGAACTCTTCACTTGATTGCAATTTATAATTCTATCAAATATGCTTCATGAATATTCATAAATAATCCAGGAAAAATAAGCCGTTAGGAGGGAACGAGAAAAATTCATAGAATCTGGTCATTGATTGGTCTAATGATAATATACATTCTACTATTTGTGTTATTTAGAATAAAAGACCAGAAACTACTTGAAGCAAGATGTCCAAATATCTCAGCTAAAAGGTTTGAATACTTAATCAGGTGACAAATAGACAAACTGAAGAAGAATGTTTATAGACATACAAATTAATCTCCATATATAATATTTGATAAGAGAAAAGACCAGAGCACCTGGCTTGGAATTTCTATTAATGTTCATAACACATTGAGTCAATCTGAACTAGCTATTCCTTAAAACACATGCAGCCATATCTACCAAAACTTCATCTTATTGGTCAATCATTTAAAAGAAGGTGTTATTAAAATATTTGCTTACCAAACCCATGAAGCTCTATTTCAGCTGTTCAAGATGGAAACCTGAGTGACCACAGTCAAAATATTCAGGTGGTTACTAACTTTGTAATAATTTAACATGTACAACCCTGTGTAGTTCAGTTATAAAGACATTAATAATAAATAAAACTCACCCCTCCACCACCATAGCCTCCTCTATTTCCACCATAGCTGTCCCTGTTACCATAACCTCCCCCACCCCTATTATTATAACCCCCACCCCCTCTGGGGTTATTATTGTAGTTATAACCATATGATGGTCCTCCACCTCCACTGTTCCAAGAATCATTTCTGTAAAATAAAAAATAATTCAAAATTCTTAGCCTTTGTAACACAATATATATTTTTATCATGACAGATTGAATGTAAGACTTAAGATTTTTATTTTTTTACAATGCTAATGTAATAGTCTTTTAAGTTTTAATTTGTTTGTTTTTTTCATTTTTTTTTTCATTTGTTGTTTTCATGATTTTTGCACAAAAGACAATGTTACTTCTTTGTTACTGAATTGTATTGTAAGTAAATTCAAACCATTATCATGAGATTTTTGAAAATATTTACTTTAAATTGTAACATGCTGAATAGAATGGTATTTTTAAAAGTGACGTAATAATTTGGAGGTCATTATTGTCAGGTATCCTGTACAGCCCCTTCTGTCTTCAGTCTGAATTAGCCCTTACATTCCATTCAAATCTCTTAAAACTATAATAGTTCTTCAAATTTTCTACTGACAATAAGATCTATTACAATCTTCATCTGCTTTAATTACATCTGTATTAATTAGGCTTTTTGTTGTTTTCATACCTTAAACAATAGCTAAGATGTTGAAACCTACTCAGCTTTAGGCTAATAGATATCAAGACAGATCTTCAAGAGGTTTCGGTCAGGCTAAGCCATGAGAAAGCTAATAATTCTACTCTAAACTATAGTTTAACAGATTTTCAAGAGGCTCTTCAATGCCTAGTTTACAACTTGGACCCACTCGGACTCAAATTGGAACAACTCTTTCTATTCTTGTGGATTCCTTGTTACAACAACTAGAACAAACACTTCAGGTATTGTCATAGCATTTAGTTTCAAAACCAGAGGCTGGGTTTGTGTAGTCGCATCCTGCCCTCTCTTGTCCCTAAGACCCTGGGATACATTTAATAAGGCTTTCTCTCTAGTTAACTTCCCACATTATCCTTAAATAGCCTGGGTATTGTTTCTTAACACAACAATCTGGACTCTTAATAGACAAGGTGTTGAATCTTGAGACTTTTAATAGAAATATTGTCGCATCTCACTGCTGACCTATCAATGATTGACCAATAACAGTGGGACCACAATGACCCCTTTTGCCCTTTACATCTCTCAGTTTGACCAGTGTCCACAGATGTCACCTAATTTATCATTATGGGTTGTTCTGAAAATAATTTACGATAACAATCAAAGTTGAAGATCTTGACAGAATTGTTTTATTTTCTCACCCAAGCTAACACCTGGACACCAATTATTCTGACTTTAATAATCTTTCATTTATTTAACAAAATCTACCAAAATATCCCATCAATAGATGTGTTTTGATATTTTCATCCCTTAATGAAAGCATGTGTTTATATATTGTTGGTATATTTGCACACCATTAAAGGAATATGGGTATATTGCACTCATAATGAAAGTGTGTTTATGTATATTTGGTATATTTGCAGCCTCTCATAAATGGATATGTTAATATATGACAATTCAACAATTCCAAAGAAAGGATGTGTTTGGATATGAGAATAATTAGATAGTTAAAGTTTACTGACAATGAAGAATATAACACAATGAAGAACAATATTAGTCTCCTCCAGTCTAGTCTTCTAATTCAACTTGCATACTAGTATATGCAGCTTTTTATTCTTTTGACCAATTCTCAGTTTCTAAATAAATCTAACCACTGGTTTTGATGCATGTTGAACTTTTTACAAAAAAAATTGTAACAGTTACCTTATAATTTTCAAGACATATGCAGTTCCTTACTTGCCAAGATATAAAAAATGTATCCAAAAAAAAATCAATTACTATCAAATATTTCTGGAAATACTTCTGTATATTTCATCAGAATAATAATTGTAACTGTAATTGTAAGACAGTATAAATCATATAAATTCTGGTAAAATTCTTGTCAAATTTTATATTTCTCTTACAACTTAAAATTATAAACAAATTTTTAATCTGTTATTTTGTATATTTAATAAGAATGAATAGTGTATATTTATCATGACAAGTACAATCTTAGAGTATTTATAAAGGGTAAATCATAGAATTCTGGTAAAATTATAAACAAATCTTCAATCTTTTATTTTGTATATTTAAAAGAATTAAGATTGTATATTTATCATGGCAAATACAATCTTAGAGTATTTTAAATGATACATCACAGAAATTCTAATAAAATATGGTCAAATCATATCAATTAGATGAGGTATTTGACATGACAATTATGACCATTCTGAGGTCAAGTACTGCCATACACAAACCAATTGACAACCAATAGAATAACTCATTTCACTCATAATATCTTCATAGACAACATAACACTCTCTCTGATTGGGTGTTCATTGTAGAGTTAACACTCTATTAAATGCTCATTAGTGTTCATAATCAATCAACCATCATTTCCCAATTAAATCAGCGTTCTTCACAGGATGTGGCAAGAACAGACAGATGATGAAAAGGACAACTTTGGATATTGCTACTGGGTTTCTAAGAGTTCACATTTGAGTTTCTGAGCTCCACATAACTTTCTAAAAGTCCTCAAGGCTAACATTGCTTATTTGGCATAAGAGCTTATATGTTTTGTCAACTCAGCATCCATATCAAAGTCCAAACAGCTAACACTGTTTATTTGGTATATGTCTAAATAGTCAGACTGCATACCTGTAAGCAGAGTAAGCTGAACCTCCTCCACTGTTGTTTCTGTAGGGTTGGGCACCATAATTCTGCTGTCTACCTCCATAATCCCCACCGTATCCCCTGTTATCTCTACCTCCGTATCCCCCACTATCTCGGCCACCGTATCCACCTGAAAAATATCAAGAGTACATATAAAAATATTGGCTTTATAACATGAAACATGTTTTCTATGCTGATTGCTGAAATGCAGAACTAAAAACCAAGATACAGTAAATTGATTTATTGATGATACTTTTTGGTATTGATCAGATCACTGGAACACTGAAATTGGAAGCTGGAAACTGGTCATCCTTTGATTAAAAACTCAGTACAAACTAAAAATATCAAAACATTCTCAACTGGTCCAAACTGAAACAGATATACCCACATTTTTGGAAATCTTGCTATCATTGAAATGAAATTCATTGTCACATGCTTTTATTCATATTACTTGGGTGTTATTTATTTCATTTACACTAAGTACTCAAAGGTTAGTGTGTTGAAGAAGTCAATTTTTATCAAATTACCAGTACACAACATTGACATAGATCAGTTTCACTGCCAAAATACTTGACAAGTATAAACCAGTACTTAGAAGCAACTGATTGGACTGTTAGTTGAAATGTCAAAATGGTTCGCAAAGTAGTATGAGAGTTGGTGAATTAACTCTGATAGCCTGTAAGCTTGTCAAATGCTCATTGTAGCAATCTAAAGGACAAGGTAAAACTCTATTGAGGACACTTGCCAGCTATTTATTCTCTGTAAATACCTGGAGCAAATCTCTACTCCTCAATACCTTGCAGTCATTTCATTGTCTTTATATTATTCTCACTCATATTAAAGTCACTGTACCATTTTTATAGAAAAGAGGTAAAATTCAATGTTATACAAAATCAGTTATTTATTTTCTGCCATTTAAGAAAATCCCACGGAAGAAGATTTTAGTAATTGGATATTGAAGATAAATTGGTAGTGAAAATTTCAATTTTTTTTTTACCTAATTTGGCATTTTTTTTTTTCATTCCAAGAAACAAGATTTTTTTGTCCTTGAATGGAGCAAAGAGAAAGTTTATGTATATTTGAGTTATATTTGTTTTATCTTTAACCTAAATTACAGGCTGATTCTAGTTTGTTGCAACTGACAAAGCAAACTTTTAGCGTTCCGAGACTTTTGTTCAGTTCCATAGCTATTTCAAGATTTATTTTTCTTTCTCATTCTGGAATTTTCTATATACAAATATAGTAAAATAATGATATTTTTAATGATAACTAAATATCCACTATATTATAATTAAATCATTTTGAATAAATTATCTTAAAGGTGACATATTGATATAGGTGTTAAAAAGGGTCTGTCCCTTTAAATACTAGTAAAGTGTGATTTATTTGAACACAGGTGTGTTAAGAAGGTTAAAAAGCCTGCCCAGTTTAAATATAAAATAGGCATTGTGTTCACCATTCACTAACACAATATAACACAGTGTTGAACATCAGCCTTTACTTGTCAAACCATACAAACATTTCTATATTTTATATACAAAAAACATCTAAAATATTTATTAATGCCTTCCAGCTATCTTCTTTTCAATTCTACCTTACAATCTTTTACAGATTCATATAATTAGGCCATTTCTTTCACCTTTTCAACAATATCTAAATAAATAAACTTAGAGATGCCAATTTTCTACCATGGCTTTAGGGTCAGAATAATATATGCAATAAAAGAAAATGAGAGAAAGAGCAAGTTTGATACTGGAGAGATTTCGCATTTGAACATCCAAACTTGGCATACAATTCATTAAGGGTATAACTATCTGTATTCCGAAAGAACATCATATCCAGTCTTAAAATATATTTAAAATTCATATCAGTATCAAAACTTAGTATCAAGGGTGAAAAAGTTCATAAAACTGCTATATAAAGCACTAACCGAGGTCACAAATAAAGAGATTTTTTTTGTAAGAGCTCTCTACTGGATGGGTGTTTTAAGTGAGGAAGGACATATTCGCTCTTCCAAAACACATAATGCCATTCAGCAATTGAGATTATCGACTCTTCATGTCCTGTTAATGGAATTTGACGCATATTCATGGCTCACTTTAAAGTGTAAATAAACCAGAAAAATAATATGAAATGATTTGGAATATTTTCTATAATCTATTTGTAATAACAATATATATTAAAATAACATTAATCCTATCTAGATATCTTGATAATCATATGAAGGACATCTTCAGATCTCATCACAACCCTCTTACTCTGGCTAGTATCAACATAAAAACACTAGCACACTTTCAGACGGCCTGAATTACTACAAGAATGCCAAAGTACCAGAAAGTGTCTTTGAGTCTCTTTATCCCATTCTTAGAAGACACTTGGTAAGAGCTAAGAGATCATTTTCACAAGTAAGCTAATAAAACCAAGAAAAATATCTCGAAAACCTATTAAAAATGCTCAACTAGGCTTCAAGATCTCTTACAATGTGTCTCGATACCCCTTGATTCAACAAAAACCATAGATTACGCGTTAATCAAAACCTGCACTTATTCATACCCTTGCATCGAATTTCTTTAAGAAAACCTACTTAAACAGTGCTAAAACATTAATAATGCTATCGTCACAATAACAATCTAAAAGTATACAATTTGATAAACTGAACAATAGATTTCTGACATGAAGGAGAGTAGTTTGTTGTTTGACTCAAACGACAAAGAAAATGAATCAAAACAAGCCCCACAGGGCAATCATCATCGATATACACATTTTTAGATTAACGTGTATAATTACCACTATATTCACGGTAATTTTCATCAAGTTTATAATTTCTTCGTATTTATTTTGTCAGTTTTCCTGATTATGTAAATAATTGTTACCCTTTCATTAGCGCAAATCTTTGTATAAAATTATTGCTTTTCTTAAAAATTATCGAATATATTGGACTCAATATTAAGATTGTGGTTTCCCACATAAGTGTCGATTTAAAATTGCCTTCATCAGAAAGAACAACATAAAATATGAAAGACACACATGTCTGAGGTAGAAAAACGGAAATGTACAACGAAACGCAAAGAGGCTGTTATTATCTACTTCTACGACTTCAAGGATTGTAAGTTTGAATTTGAAAAACAAAGACAGCAAGCGATAAAAGGTTGGGATATTGATTACAGTTATAAAAACCAAGTTTCTTTGCCTCGTTTTGAAAATAAATCAGTGGAATTAAAGGACGAGGAAAGAGAGTTGTTTTGAGAATAAAATATCAAAGTCAATATTCAGTAATGACAGCGATATAGAATGTTTACCAAGCATTGTTGTTCCTTACCACCAGATAATTAAAACACAAAGTGTTAGAGTAAAGATAAATTAAGAACGAGAGTTCGTGGCTTCGTACACTAATAGACTGATATTAACCATAATATTTCCTTTATAAAAAATATACAATATCACCCTAGTTGATCAATATACACCATATCTTATAGTTTTCTTTCTTAGTATCAAACAAAACTGATGTCTGATAAAACTGAAGTGAAATCAAGCCCTTACACAATGCTACAATGCCATGCACTGGACAATCAGGGAAACATCTTTCTTAGTATCAAACAGACATGGTGTCTGATAAAACTGAAGTGAAATCAAGCCCTTACACAGAGTTTACATTTTACTTTACTGCTCCTGATTATAATATTGAATAAAGATAGACATTATATGCATTGTGCAATGAGGAAAATTTTGCCAGGACAACAGTATTAAACGTACAGTCTGTAACACACATGATAAAAAGCAATGCAGTTGATTTCTAATTACGCTAAAAATTTGACTCCACTTTTTGAGAAGTATTCAAAATTCACCCACTGTAGACAATCAACGATTTATCAAAATTCACTAATCATATTGATTGAAATTGAACGAAACTGACTGGGAAAGTGGCCTCTTGTAACAGCTAATTTAATTGGGCGAGATGAACCAATAATTTTCTCCTGACTCAATCAAGTCTAAGGACGGGTGGGCCAAATTTATAAAGAATTGTTAGCTTAGGTCGTCACCTCTGTGCTACTTGAGAGAAATTTGATTACTGTTATTGGGAATAAATTTTGTCAATCTGTTGAATGGAGATGATTGGTATGTGTTTGGTGTGCGAGACTTCGTCAAATCATCTGAGAATTCAGTTTGACATTCAACAACGAACCATATCACGTCAATTGACTCGACAAATACTCACTGCTTAATTCAACTAGTTTTCATTTACGACTGTCAAATTATACTCCAATCAAATTGTCTCCCTTTCTACGACCCTGTCAACATTGTTCAAGGCTATTAAATTATCTTCTAACCATAATGATTTAATTAAATACACAAATTTCACTGCATATAAAACTATTTAAATATTGTCAAATTTAGAATTATTCGTATTCATTTTGGATTTTTTTCTACATATTTTGAGGACAAAATCTAGATCAAGTTAAAATGTAAATTTAGTCCCTATAGGCAACAGAAAAGGAAAGCAAAAAATATCTCACATTGCATTCAGATTTTTTTCATTTGATGGTTCGATCCATAGTTTTTATTGCGTTAATCATGGAACATCATCAATCCCCCAAATCATTGCACAATGACAATTACAGAATGACGACATCTCTTTAAGCAAAACCATAAACAACAAAGTTAAGAATAATTGTCATCAGATATTAAGTCGGTGGTTTAAATATGACAGGTGAGTTATTGCCCTTGACAGCCTTGTCTCAAGATGACGGTAAGAACGTGGCAGATCTCGTCAGGACAATTAGACGAGGTTTTGTTAAAGGTATTAACTCTGATAACTTTAAGAGCTAATACGTTTCAACTTGTCACTTTCCAATGTGCTTCAAGCTTGAGATTCTCTACAGCTGGAATAGTCTACAATACCTTATCCTGGGTGTTGTGATATGCCCCCTTTGCTAATTCTAAATCGGGGAATCAATTGCCTCTTGTCCATATACTCATCATTAATATTTATATGATTTGGTATACCAGATCCAAGAAACTTTACATGGAGATGGGGAGCTATCATCGATTTACCAAATACAATAGAAAGAGATGAAATGAAAGTTGCTTTTTAACTTGGTTTGATGAAATATTATGTCAAATTGTTCTGTTTTGAGCAATAAAGTAGAACTCATCTATCCTGTACATTGTTGAGACATGAATTATATTACAAAATAACATACACAAGGAAGTAGACTCATGCATCTTGTATTTTATATAAATCATTTGACATTTCATGGAAGGAATGAGAATGATCATAATCTATATAGACAATATATCACAAAAATAAATACAAAAGAAGTTTACATGTGAGTCTGTGAATCTTGTATGTCATCTGTAGGTTTTGAAAAGGACTGATCAATGATAGTATATTATGCTTTCCCTTAGCCATTAACAGACGGAATGGCATACCACACCCCCCAGATTTCAACAGTGTAATAATCTTTCATTGTTCATTGTATACTGACACTACAAGATACAGACTTCTTGTCATTTTACTATAAGCACCTTGAAGTTGTCGTCTTCAT